AGTAATTAAAACTCAGCTCAACTTTGGCAGGAAACCAATCCTCACCTTAGCAAAGGACACGTGCCATCTCTTCTGGATATTTGTGGGGTGGAGGTGATGATGTTCACCTTGCCTTGAGGGTGAGCTCCTGGGTGTAGAGGTGGAGTGGAGAGGACAGCCTGGTGTCCTGGCGCCCAACCCAGCCCTCCAATGAGTGACAGAGCCACGAGGAGAGAGTAGCTGCAGCCAGGAGCGAGACAGGAGCTGACTTCATAGGGGATTCAGACAAACTCAGGGCACCTGTGGTATTTTGCAGGGCTCCCATGGCAACGTGGGACAGGGGCAAGAGGGTAGAACCCAGCATGGTTTGCTCCAAAAACCTGGGGAATGCAGCGCAGAGTGGGGAAGGAGAATCAGGCCTGAGCACGGGTGCCACGCTGTCCCCAAACACACACCACAGCGACACTCTACTGTCACAGCGCCTCAAGAGCTTGGACGACAGCCCTGGGGGGAGGGTGCTGAAGAATGGAAGGGGACTGAAAAGAACCGCTCTTGCGCTGACGTGAGATGCCCAGAAAAAACCAGCATAGAATGTGAGGAGAGTCTGGAGAGATTCTGTAATAAGCAAGTGGGGCGATAAGTCAGTGATATTTAATTAAGTCATTGTTCTTAGAGTGTCTTCATGTGAACCCACAGACTGACACATAAGAAATTCCAATTTTGCTGGTGAGCAGGATTTCCCTCCCCCAGAGCGACCAGATTGGGAATCTCATTTCCTTACCAAGTGCTTCCACCCCACTCCTTCTGTTTCCCCACTGACATCTGGAAGTCCATTTGGGCCCCTGTGTAACCTCCACACTGTCCCCATATGATTGTTCTTCCCTCTGCTCACAGACAGACAGGATGTATTGCGCCTGCTGTCAACAGACTCCCTTCCTCACCATCCTCCTGACAATAAGCATTAGAACCTATTGTCTGTTTCTACTCTGGACTGAAGCCACCCCTTAAGCCTTGTAGCAGATCCATTTACCTACCTCCCAAACTACATTTGTGGTGGGGTCAAGAGGAGAAAACACTCCAACTCAGGGTAAATTACAAAGTATTAGACATTTATGTATATGAATGAACAAGAATGAAATTGGTAGAGCAACTTGTCCGAGTTGCACAGACAGTATTTATAACTAACTTTATTAGCCAACTGCTTAGAGCTTTACTGTGCCGCTTCTTCACCAGGTTCCACAGAAACCAGGTGTGGTCTCAGCTTCAGGGGCATGAGCCAGAAGCCGTATGGCGAAGGCTCAGACTAGCAAGTTAACTGGGAGGTAGTAATTTAGCTAATGAGATGTGAATACAATTAGAGTTGCCGTGGGCCAGTCTCTAAGTGTATAACAAGGACTCCTTGGGCAGCCTTCCAACATGTAGAATAGGCTTTATTTCAAAGAAACAAATGCCTTGTCACACAACAAGACCAAATGCTATGCTCAGGACTACCACTAGGATAGATGGCGCCTTTGTGTGAATTAGAAAAAGGTGCCCCCTCTGGATGAAACCAGAATCAGTGGCATATTATCTGGCAAGAAGATGACACCATTGTGCCAAGCAAAGTGGTACCTGTCCTCTGGGCAGGCATAGACTCATGCCCAGACACATAGCTTGGTATGCGGGCACATGCTGGATTTCAGTCCCCAATCTCCCCTTGTGCAGTCCATAACCTACACAACTTTACCCAGTGGCCAAGGCCAAGCTTTGGAATCTTCTCCTGCCACCTGGCACACGTTGAAGAAAGCAAGCTAAGTAAAGGGAACATTCTGCCTCAAGAAGACATTGGTCTCTGCCTGGTGATTGATGGTCCTTGATCTTATCATCACCCCACCCTACCCGAGTGCCCCCTTGCCACTACCAACCAACGAAATTTAGTATAGAGGTGTCCTAGCTCAAATTGTTCAGGAAGCAAAACTGCTAAGTGAAACAAACACATCGGCCTCCCTCTAATCTTGCTTGTTCCCTGTCATTTTTCATATCAGCTTAGAACTTAGCTTGTTCCATTATAACGACAAAAAGTCACTAACAACCTTGTTCCATGACAGCCTTGTTCTTATTCAAAATACTACCACATCATCAACTTTGGACTATCACTCGCTCCACGAAGCTGTCCATCTCTGATGCCCAGGCGGGGTTAAAGGCCCCTCTCTGGGGCTGCCCTGACACCTCCCCTTGCCTTGACCATAGCATGACACTAGCCATGTTTCACTGTAATTGTTTGCTCACTTTCCGTCTCCCCTATTAGGACATAAGCAACCTGTGAGCAGAAACAAGGTCTTTTTCACCTTTGAACAAATTTCTAGCACTTAACTTAAAATATTTGTTGAATGAATGGTCTAAGGAAGAAAAATAACGTTGATTGTATGTGTGTTCGTTTGCTGCGGCTGCCGTAACAAAGTACCACAAACTGAGTGGATTAGAGCAAGAGAAATGGATAGTCTCACAGTTCTGGAGGCCGGAAGTCTGCAATCAAAGTATTGGCAGGTCCCTGCTCCCTCTGAAGGTGCTAGAGAAGAACTCCTCTGTGCCTCTCTCCTGGCTTCTGGTAGCCCGAGGCGTTCCTTGGCTTGTAGATGCACCACTCCCATCCTCCGTCTTTACCTGGACTTCTCCCTGTGTGTAGTCACCTCCTCTTCCCTCTGTGCCTGTCTATCTCTGTGTCCAAATTTCCCCTTTTTTAAGGACATCGGTCATAGTGGATTTGGGCCCACTCTAATGACCTCTACATCAATATATTTTACGTTATGTATCGTTTACCAAAAATTTTTTTAATTAAAAAAAACTAAAAGTAATTCATTCTGAGTCTATTTTCCTTAGTGGGCAAGGAAAAGAAAATGGAACCATAAATGTTTAATACTTGACATGCCCTTCCCAATAATCTACTATTTTTTAGAAAGTGTTCACTGTTGTATAAACCTATTCAGATTTCTTTGATCCTGAAATTTTGGCAGACATTGACACTATAACAAAAGCATGTTCAAAGGCATTGTTTAAATTTTTCTCAAAATATGTTGTCCCTTGTAAGAGTAGCAGTCCCTTTAACTGAGCCTGGGAACAGATTCAAACTCTCTTAATGGGACAGGAAAACATCTCTTAGCAGAGAAACACAGAGAACGAAGATCTTGGCCTTCTTGAGCTTCTTAATACTAAGGAGGTTTTTTATCCCCTCTGTCTGTCTTTTTCTCTAAAGGAAAGGAATGAGGCAGGGAGCTCTGATGCAAGGCAAGCCAGCGAATTTGCTCACATAGCCCAGAAAGAGCGCACACCAGAGAAGATAACGCTTCACCAAGAATCAGGGGCCTTGAGCACTGTGACCCTGCATTTATCTGAAATGTTTTTTTTTCAGTCCTTAAGTGCTTATTATGGGCTTGCTTTTAAGGGCACTGTGCTGGATACTTTCTCATAAATTAGATAATTTGAAAGTCATCACTGCCCTGTGAAGTAATACTATTCCCCATTTAAAAAAATTTTTTTTAAATGAAGTTCAAAGAGGTTAAATAAATTACTCATTTACTACCATTAAAACTAGTATCTGGTCAGAGTAATTTAAGTGGAGCTATTCTTAGCAGAACCGCGTTTTTTATAAAGCTTGGAGACCAGTGGATGAGTGGGCAGGGCGGCGGCCCCTCCAGGGCTGTCGTCCGAGCTCTTGAACTACAGAAGGCGCAGCCTCTTGGCCCTCGTGTTTGGAGGCAGCACTGCGCCCTGCCCGGCCGGCTTGCCCTTCCTCCCCTTTGTGCTGACACACAGGGAGTGCTCACCTTGCCCCTCCCACGAGGCCCTGTGAGGGCTCGCTCCCAGGGCACTTCCGGTTTCGTTGGCGAAAACACAGGGCAAGTACAAAACGTGAACACATGACCCTATGGCCCCATCTGGATTAGTGTCCTGCCACCGCTGTAGCAAATCCCCACAAACCCAGTGGTTTGCACAACATAAATTTATTATCTTTCAGCTCTGGAGGTCAGAAGTGGGAAATGGCTCTCGCTGGTCTAAAATCAAGGTGAAGGCAGGATTGCAGCTCATTCTGCAGGCTCTACGGAAGAATCCATTTCCTTGACCTCAAAACACCCACATTCCTCAGCTCATGGCCTTTTCCTCCATCTGCAAAACACTGCATCTCTCTATGGCTTTCTGCCACAGTCACATCTTCCTCAGAGCCTCTCCTGCCTCCCTCATTCACCAAGAGGGATGCTGTGATTACACTGGGACCGCCTGGATAATCCAGGCTCCTCTCCAGGTCTCAGGGTCCTCAATCACACCTGCAAAGCCCCTCTTACCATATAAGGTAGCAGGTTCTGGGAATAGAGATGGGAACATCTCCCAGCGCTCTTATTCTGTCTTCCTCACCAAACCTGATTGGGGGACACGGCCATGCCCCCAAAGGATGGGCTGACATCAGCAAGATTCTTCCTAGATTTTTAAAAATTGAAATGAATCCCTTGTTAAATTAAAATATTCCAACCCAGCGCTACCAAGTAACAGCAAGTCCCTGATGATCCTGAATCACTCACAGTTAGTTAGACAGAGAGAATGGTTTGTCTGAGCTGGCAGAGTCAGTGTTAAAGCATTTGTGCATGGCATGGCAGTTCCTCAAAAGTTAAAAATAAAATTACCACATGATTCAGCAATTTCCTTTCTGGGACCCAAAGGAATTGAAAGCAGGGACTTGAACAGATATTTGTACCCCATGTTCATAGCAGCATTATTCACAATAGCCGAAAAGTGGAAATAACCCATTGATGGACGAATGGATAATGAAAATGTGGTGTATACATACAGTGGAGCATTACTCAGCCTTAAAAAGGAGGGAAATGCTGACATATGCTACAACATGGATGAATCTTGGGGACACTATGCTCAGTGAAATAAGCCAGTCACCGAAGGACAGATACTGTATGATTCCACTGATATGAGGTCCCTGGAGCAGTCAGATTCACAGAGACAGGAAGCAGAACAGCGGTGTCAGGGGCTGGAGGGGGAGGAATGGAGAGTTAGTGTCTAATGGGTGCAGAGTTTCAGTTTGGGAAGATGAAAATCTTGGGGAGATGGATGGTGGTGACAGCTGCACAGCAATGCAAATGTTCTTAGTGCCACTGAACAAGTGATGAAGATGATAAGTTTTAGGTTATGTATATTTTATCACAATTTATAAAACGTCTTTGCGGATATTTTTAAATTTTGATCATTGATTGAGAAATGAAACAGAAATACCAAACAGAGCAGCTTTGATGAAGTGCACACTCTTTCAGTCAGTTCTTAGCTTGTTTTTTTCAGCTCTTCTATTCCTAAAGTTTACATTGATCTAAACGGTTAGACCAGGGAGAGACGGCAAGAAGGCCAGGCTGCCCACAACGTGCCATCCTCTGCCTTGGAACCTACGCCCGGATTTCTTTCTTTATTTCCTTGTCGCATCCCCTGTCCTCCCAAGTCTCCTCTTCCAGTGGCTTCTTGGGAGCTCGTTGACAACCTGGTTGCCCCAAAAGCATCTGTTGCTGCAGCTTTTCTCCCCGCCAGCCAGCCCTGCTCAGAGCTTTGGGGCACGCAAGGTGATTCACATGCTGTTTGCTCCTGTGAAGGGACCCGCAGAGCTCCAAATCTTATGGTGTAGACCACAAATCCAGGCTTACACTCACTTTCCTGTCTTATGTTTGTAGGCCTGGAAAGTTAGATTTTCTAAAACGTTCCCAGTTTTCATTAGGGCCTTTATTCTTCCCTTCTTGTTGAGAACAGAACACAAGTGTCTCTAAGGCTCTCAGTGGCCTAGCACATGGGCCAACATGGAGATCCAAATCCAGCGAAAGAGCAAGCGTGGCTGCTCAGAGTCTTATCAGAATTCCCAGGTCGACCCAGGAACTCCCAGGGCCCCCCAAATCCTCCGAGACACAGGTGCATGGGGGCCCCAAGGCTGAGAGGGAAGAGGTGGGATATGGAGGCAGCCACATGAAGCTCAGCTGCCGATGGTGCCAGTCAGCCACACGGCTCCATTCTGTGGTCATAGAGGGCCACAGATGTGGGGAAAAGACCACGTTCTGAGCTAGGAACCAGTAGACGCTTAGGGATGGTTTGTAACTGTCAATAAAGAGATAAGGCACAAAGTACTCAAGGCAACACTTGACACGCATACAGCAAATGTCTAACAATGGAAGCTATCACTGTTATCTGGTATTATTATTATTAAATTACTGGGGACATACTTAAATCCAACCAAGAATGTGTGTTGGGCTTAGCATTTAAATCAAAAATGATAGGGGCTGGCCCCGTGGCCGAGTGGTTAAGTTCGCGCGCTCCGCTGCAAGCGGCCCAGTGTTTCGTTGGTTCGAATCCTGGGCGTGGACATGGCACTGCTCATCAAACCACGCTGAGGCAGTGTCCCACATGCCACAACTAGAAGGACCCACAACGAAGAATATACAACTATGTACTGGGGGGCTTTGGGGAGAAAAAGGAAAAAATAAATAAAATCTTAAAAAAAAAAAAAAATGATATACCCTAACCAAGCATTTTATGACCCGAATAAAGACCCAGTGGTCTTTCTTCATGGAGCTTAGAAAAAGAGAAGCAGAGAAGTCACAATTTGTGTCTCAGAGAGATGGGACCACAGGAGGGTCCCCTCTGCTTGGCAAGTGGAAAGAAACTCGTGTTCTAATTTCACGATTGTTAAGCAGGCTTCCAGGTGTGACTTGGTTTCTCACATAGACTTCTGGGATAAAACGGGAGTAGGGTGAAGGCTTGAGGTCCAACCCACCACGGACAAGCTCCTAACACTGAGAGAGTGTTTTCACCTCTCCGGGCCTCAGTTTCCTGGGATAAATGATCTCAACCATCTCTTTGGCCCCAGCATCCTCTATCTTTGAGCATTCCAGTCCACTGGCACTTAACATTTTTCACAGCTACTGGATGAACCTAGTATTCTTTATCAATTCATTTCTCCTGAGTTTAAGATGAGCTTCTCCCTCTGATCCTGGTTATTCCAGGGAAAAATAGTAAAAATTTAGTTTCTGGTTTTACCTGCCTGAGAGCAAAGCCCCACATCATGGAGAGGCACCCAAGATTGAGTCACACTGTCTTCAGGTCCCTCAGCTGCAATAAGCTCCAGCCTCTTTTCCATCTGCAAAATAAAGGCAAGGTGATACTTCAGTCTGCAAAGAAATACTGAGCTTTGAGAAAGAAAACTTCATGAATCATACATTTGAATAAGCGCAAGTTATACTATTTGTTTACTTTCCAAGTGTCTCTGGGTAGCAAATTTACACCACCAGTAAGATGGGGAGAGGAACTGTGGTCTCTTTAGTTCTGATCTCTACCTCATCTGGTTATCCTCCTGAGCTCCCACCTATCAGGCAGCAGAGGAAAGGTGATTAACGGATAGACTGGTTTTCAACCTTAGTTAGATTCAGTAACTTAGACCGTCCCTTTGCAATTCGTTCTTGGGGGAATTATATCTCAGTCCTTTATTTCTATGCCCACTTCTTCCAAGACGGTATCTGGTGCTTGGGGAGGAGGCTTCCTGTGCCCTCACAGTGGTGGAGTGAAGGGGTTTGGGGATCCAGGAACTATCCTCAGCCCCATGCTTGTCTTGGCCAATCTGGCACTAAGGTAGAGTTGGCTTGATCTTGTCTGTTGGATCTGCCAGTCTGCTGATGACGTCTGTGCCTCATGAACCTGTGCTCATTCTTTCCAGTGGGTCCTCCCCCTGACTCAGCCTTCTTTCAGCTCTCACTGGCCAAGAGACCACTGAATCTGAATTCCCTGGCCGGGCTTTGTGGTGGGGCCCCTCACCTTACCACAGCAGGCCCCATGGCTGGCTCACTGGCTTTCATGGGAGAAACTAGGTAGAGTTGAGAGCGTTAACATGACTTGCCGTCTGTCCAATGATGTCATACTACATGCTGGATTGCCCCATGTGGTCATAAATCCCTGTATAACAGCATTTTCCTCCAGTGTTCCAAATGGTGAAGAGGGAAAGCACGCCCCATCCTCTGTTCACTCCCATGTTCTTTTTGACCTCTCTGTCACCAGTGGCGTCCTGGTAGTTTAACAACAGGCTCTCTGGGGATTTTGGGTGTTTGCCTATTATCATGGTGTAAATATTCCCACCGTGTCCAGTTTCAAGCTGCCAACTATTTAACCATCAGCTTGCAAAATTCCTGAAATTGTAGTAACCAGCTCCAGCACACCCGAGACTCCGGCACTCTCAATCCTCTCCAGCATGAGGATAGACCATTGCAACCATCTCCCACCCAGCACCTCTCCTGCCTCTTTCTCACTACTTTTCCTCTCATCATCACCCAGGATGAGGAGGGATGAATTTTCCCTCTTTCTTCTACCCAGCACAGCAAGCCAAAGAACTAAAACAGACGTCTTCTCTACACTGTGAAATGACCTCTAAGATCTCAGCCCCCCGGGTTTGGTTCTTGAGAGGCTAAATAGGAGCTAAAAATACTAGAGAATGTTTTCCTTCCCCAACGCTTAATGTCAGGCTGTAAAAATCAAAAATGTCAGAAGCTGAACATTCTCTTATTCACATTGGATCATTTCTATTGACCCACCTTCAAGTTCACTGACTCTGTCATCTCCATGGAGCCTATTCAGTTTTCAAACTTTTGGCTATTGTATTTTTCACTTCTAAAATTTCCATTTGGCCCTTTTTTCCATTTAGCATCTTCTATTATTTTGCTGAGACTATCTTTCCACTCATTTCAAGAGGGTTTGCCCTTGTATCTTGGAACATTCTTACAGGTGCTGCTTTAAAGTCTTTGTTGGATACTTCAAACATCTGTGACCTCTTGGCTTTGGCATCGGTTGGTTCTTTTCCAATGAAATTAAGGTTTTCCTGGCTTCTTTATATGCTAAGTAATTTTGGATTCTTTTCCTGGATAATGTATTTGGATATTACAAGACTCTAGGATTTATTTCAAACCTGTGGGGAATGTTGATGTTCTTGTTTCAGCAGGGAAACCGCTTCATTTAGCAGACTCTGCTGGGTTCAGGCTGCAGGTTCTGACCAGTCCCCTGTTGCTGCGGTTTAAATATTAGTACCGTTCTCAAAGCCTCTGCAGTGCTGTTCAGATGTGACCCACGTGTGTGCCCCCCAGTGGACGGTCTGGGCGCTGGGCTATGGTTTATCCCGTGGGTCAGCTCTCAAAGTCTATGACATTCTCTCTCAAGTCAGATCCGTGCCTGTGCAGCTCTGGGGGAGCCCAGGGGTTCACGAACAGCTTTCTGAGGTTGCTTTCCTGAGCTCCTGCCCCTCCATGGTCTCTCCAATATTTTATGGTCCCCTGGGGCTGCTCTTTTTGGTCTCTAGCCAGAAAGGTGGGGCTTTATTTACCTCACTGCCGCATGCTCGCTGCAAGTCAGCCCATGTCTGGGACCAAGCGATGGAAGAAAGAGTTAAAAAAAAAAAAGAAAAAAAGCAACAAGGGTTTAGCCCACCCTGTTGGGACCACAGCTCCTCCAATCAGAGAGGAGTTTGCCCTCCCTTAGGGCCTGGGCTCCCCTTCAAGCCACCTCAGGATTGCTTAGGTACTGGGATGCAAGAGAACAGGGAAAAGGGGAAAAAACAAGGATTTTCCCACTCCCTCAGCATTAGGAGAGCCCCTTCTCACTCCTTGAACCTGAACGAAAGAGGTTGTCCTGAATCTTTCTCTGTGCTGATGCCGCCTTCCAGGTTTCAGGCTGCTCTGAGTCCAGGAAATGCCAGAGAGGGAAAAATGGGGGCTCAGCACCTGTTTAGGGGCACTTCAAATGCTGATCTTCTTCCCCAGCCCGCTTGCTACTATCAGATTCCTCGAATAACTGCTCCATGTACTCCATCCAGGCTTTCTAGCTGATTGCAGTGGGAGAGACAGGGTGGAACAGGTTTAGTTCATGTTGCCCAGAACCAGAACCCCCACAATGCAATCAGAGAGATCTTTCTAAAGCACAGATCTGGTCACGTCACTCCTTTGCTTGAAGTTCTCTAAAGCCCCCTGTCTTGTGCCCTCGAACCCCTTCATCTGTGATGCCATCCCCTGTAATCTCTCCAGCTTCCAGCCATTCCCACCTCCAACAAACTTCCAATCACCCCATGTTCTCTTTGAATATCTGCTCCAAAGCCACACTGCATGGCTGGCAGCTCCTAGTAGTGCACAGTGGCTTCCTGACCTCCTGGCCTTTGCACATGCTGCTCCCTTTTTTCCTGCTGCTTCCTCATGGTCTTAGTTGAGATGTTACCTTCTCTAGGAAACTGTTCCTTATCCACAGGATGGATCCACTTTCCCAACAAGGAGCTCCCATCACGTTCTGTTACAGCACCTGATCTCTCAGAGCTACAATGATCTGCTTAACTACCTGTGCTCCCCACTGGACTGTGAGCACCTGGCAGGCAGGCACTGTGTTGTCACTAGTGTCTAACAGTGGGTCGGGCACGTCAGAGGTTCTAATTAATATCTGAGGACTTGAACGGTGTCAGTATCAACAGTGCCCCTAACCTACTGCCCCCTTGGTCAAGGCCCCTGATAACCACCTGCCATTTTCTTCTCTGTCAACAATATGCTCCACCTGGATCTTTAACTCTATCCCAGATCCTGGTTTGCATGTCTCCTGACCTCCACTGTCTGGACCCCCAGATTTTCAGCCTATCTTTAGACTCACGTGACTAAGGGCTGCTCCCTCAGATGACCACTCCTTGATCTCAGTCCATCTCTGTAGAATTGAATTGTATGAGTTCCGACAGTGCCCTGGGAAGTAGATTTCCTCCCCCAAACCTCTGCCTCCTTTGTCCGAGCTCCCAGTGACCACCAGATGCCGATCAAGTGGACCGTGATTTTCTGGTTCCCTTTACCACCCCACCCCATCTGTCTGCCTGGACCCACGCTGCCCAAAAGAAATCTGACATACAAACCAGAGACAAAACTTTAAATTTCCTAATACACACTTTTGAAAAAGGAAAAAGAAACAGGTTAAGTTAATTTTAATAATATATTTCATTTAAGACAATATATACAAAATATTAGCATTTCAACGTGTAATTAATATTAAAACATTATTAGGAAGATACTCTACATTCTTGTTTTCATCCTAAAACTTCAGAATCTAGTCTGTATTTTATACTTGCAGCATCTGAATTTGAACTAACCTCATTCCTAGGGTGTAATGGCTACATGTGGCCAGTGGGTACCATATCAGACAACACACGACTGGAGATTGTGTATTAATGTTAACAGAAATAGCTAAAACTTACAGTGTACTTACAACATTCCCAGCACTCTACTGACCCTCTAAGACTTTTCATGCGTTATCAGACTTAACCCTCACAGCAATCCCATAAGCTAGGGACTGTTACTAACCCCATGTTGCAAAAGAGGAAACAGTCTGACCGATTAAGCCCATGCAATTCAGTGGCAGAGCCAGGGCTAGAACCAGACTGGTGCACTTCAAGCCCATTACTGACCAGTCCTCGCACCGTCTCCTTACCTATGGAACCTTTAATAAACATGGGATTTGCCACCCTTCAGATGCCATACATTGAAAATACACATGAGAGCTAAAAGTGCTTTGGCTAACATAGCCAAAAAGTTTTGATGGGTAAATTCATATTTTGAAAGTCATCAGAACAGCCATATCCTTCCGGAAAACTCCTCCTGTGCCATGGCTGAAGAATGGTTCTGGGTTGAATCAATGACAGGCCCGGCAAAGAGTAACATTTATTATGTCCTCAAGCTTTGAGAGCTTCAAAAAGAATCAGTTTAGAGAAAGTTGGTTTTCAACAGATTTGACAGACAATTAAAATCAAGCTGGTTTTCTTTGTGGTCCCTTCATTCAGCAAACTCTGTGAGCTCTGGGGCCAGTGTTCTTAGCCTTCACACAGTGCGGGGATTTTAGCTGCTTTCTCACGTGCTGTTTTCAAAGACTTCTCCACGATGAACACAGGTGGTTCCCTTCTCTTGTCCTTGCTAACTGAGAGGGACACCCTCTTCGCAACAGGAAGCTGAGATCTGCTCTCCCCCTCGCCATATGGAATAAATATTATCTCCCAGTAACAGTCCTGGGTAATTAAACTTGTCTTTGTGCCACAACTTATCCTCTGGGAAATATTTACTCCTTTAACCTTCAGACTTCACATATAAAACATAGACTTCTTTTCTGTTTCAAGAGCCAGAAAATCAAGCAGTGACTTACACAAGTTAGAAGTTTATTTCTCACTCCCATAAACCTAAGCAGTCATAATCAGGGGGGCTTAGGTTTGTTTTATTTTGTGGCTTCATCCTCCTCCACTGATGGCTTCTGTCTCATGGTCCAAAATGGCTGTCCAGGTCCAGTTGTTTCATCACACTCCAGCCAGCAAGATAAGAGAAAGGGCAGGGAAGGAATAACAGCTTCTTTTAAGGACCCTTCCTGAAAGTTGTGTATACAGCTTATGCATAGACTGTATTGGCTAGAACTCAATCGCAAGGCCATCCAAGCCTCAGGGGAGGGTAAGAAATGGAATCTTTGCTCTGAGTGTCTGCAGCAGCAATGAGAATGTGCCTCTCCGATCTCTGACTGCGGGGAGTGTACCTGTGCAAGGGCCCCAGCTGCTACACCCTGAAATCCATCACCACATTTGCAGTGAGGCCATGCTTCCCACAGGCTGCTCCCAGCCAGTGGCTGAGCATCAGGAAGACTAAGGCAGGCTCCTTTCCGGAAGCCGTAAGACTTCTCCGACGGGCAGCATCAGCTTGAGAACTGTGTTAATCATCTATTGCTACATGACACATTACAGCAAAACTTAGTAGCTTTAAAACAACACACATCTATTATCTCACCGTCTCTGTAGGTCAGGGATCAGGGACAGTTTGCCTGGGTCCTCTGCATCAAGAGCTCTCACTGGCCAGCCAGGGCTGTGGTCCCATCTGAGGCCTAACAGGGAAAGCATCTGCTTCCAAGCTCAGCTCGCGATGGTTGTCAGGATTGAGCATCTCACGGATGGACCGAGGGCCTCAGTTCTTTCCTGGCTGTTGGCTGGAGGATGCTCTCAGTTCCCTGTTACATGAAATTTTCCAACATGGCAGTTTGCTTCATCAGAATTAGCAAGAGAGAGAGTCCAGTAAGATGGAAGTCACAGTCTTTCCTAAGCATCATGGAAAGAGACATGCCTCACGTTGTCATATTCTAGTCCTTAGAAGCTAGTCACCAGGTGTAGTCCACCCTCAAAGGAAAAGGGTTACGTAAGGGCATGGGTATCAGGAGGCAGAGGTCATCGGGTATCATCTCTGAAATCCGCCTATCCCAAGGATCCCAGCAGCTTTGCAGAACTTTCCTGAGAACTGCACTGGCGCCTAAGAGGCTGCACCCAGCCTGCCTGCCCTCCCCGTCTCCTGCACTTGGGGTCAGACCTGCATTGTGGTCTGGTTTCACTCCCCATCTTCTCTAATAGACATTCCCCCTAAACAATTCCTTACATGTTTAGTCTCTTCTTAGCATCTGCTTTTCAGAACACCCAGATTAACACAGTGGCCCCGGACTGGCTAAGACTCTGTTGTTGAGGAAGAAGGGGAGAAAAGATTCTGAGAAATCTCTGCCAATATCCTTAACACGGTTCTGAAATCAAACCCCTGTGGATCTCAGCACATTTGATATTAAAGGTAAAACACAACCTCCCCCCAAAAAATAAAATTTAAATAACTGGAAAAACTTATTTCTACCTCTGTCAATATACGTGTACTGTGTGTACTACAATAATCCTTCAACTAACTCAAAATTTAAATTTCTAGAAAGTAAGATCCTAAGAATAAAACCAATATGAAATAAGGATAACAACTGATACCAAATCTTATATTTTTTATTGCATAAAGACGTGCTTTAGACTCAATAATTTTTTATGCTACAATTTTCACTTAAGTCCTTAATTTTTTACTGATTGTCCAAAATGGTTGGTAGATTAACCTAAATTTGCTAAGAAGTCAGCTTTGGAGAGCAGGCAGGAGGTCTTAGCAACTCAGAAAAGGGCTGAAGACTTACTTTAGACAAAGCTAACACTGAGTCAGAAGGTGGAATAAATTGCTTTGATAAAGTCTTTTCCCTATTGAGAACAATCCACCGTGTGTTTATTCATCATTCTTGTGTCGGCTTTATCGTCGTTGCTAATATTATATATATCAATAAACACTCCATCTAAAAAATAATTCTTCTCATTTCCGTTTTGCACCACAGAGAACTGGCAGAAAGAGGGAGAGTGGCATGAGTAACGTACAGTTTCCCTAGGAAGCCCATACTGTGTAGTTCACAAGTTTGGCCAGGAGGTGGCAGTAGTGACCAATGAGAAAATCCTGACGTTCTGCCTCTACCAGCTTTTCATTGTCCTGCGATGCTTCCTGGAGCTAATCTGATGCTTATGAAAGCGATTTCCTTCTTACAAAAACACCAGGCCCAAACAGAAACTAACCTCATCCTGCAGATAAAGAATGTTTGTGCCTTGCAAGGCTTGTCAAACTCTCTCAGCTACAGCCAAAACTTAAGTATTTTCCCAGCAGCGAAAGGCAGCTGCTCATTTGAGGAAGCGGAGTGGGCACACGCCCCCACACTGAAGGCCGCACCTTACCAGACCCGCCCTCTGGGTGCTGGGATGGCTGTAAAGGAGGAGGACCCAGCCAAGCAGCCAGACTCATCCCAGCTCCGGGAAGGCTGAGTACACTGAAGGATTCTGCAGGAAATGACAAGAAGCTGAAGAACTGTTCCGTTGAGGTAAGAGCTGTTCGCAAGTCCTGAGTCACTCAAACCAAGTCCTTTCCACCAGCAACACCCAATGTCTTTCTCACACAAACCCAGGTCTGACAGTCATTCCTGAGAGGGGTTTAATTGAAACGGCATTATTGCCACCCTTTAAACTACAGAATGTAGTGGGCTTGCTCTGACAGTGAAGGGTTCTGGAAGATCTGGGAATCCTAAGGAGTGAGACCTGACCCTGAGGGCAATGGGCACCATTCAAAGGGGTTAAGCAGGAGAGTAAGGTGGCTAACTGAATGTAGAAGGGCAATGAAAAGGAGAGAGTAGGAAGGTCTCACCAGTCAAATAGGCTTTCTATCCCCAAATCTCAGCAAGCAGCCATTTTTCCTGGATTTCTGAAAACACATTTTGAAGGATGCTGAGAAGTCTGGGAATGTGCTCTTAGTCTCTTTCCTCCACTGCATCTTTGGAGGGGACGTGGCCCCCATCTCCATATGGTCCCCAGGGAGACCAACGGTGGCAGAACAGCTTGTGGGCGGTGGCATCCTGGGGACTTGGCTTCAGGATTTGGAAAAGTAGCGTCAACTCCCCAAGCTCCGTCTCCTGCTGTGTTAAGGAGGGGTAATAGTGCTGGCCGCAGGCCTGTCTGGGGGTTAAATGAGATCATGTATGAACGTCCTAGGACGGCCCTGGAGCTAGAGGGAGCGCTGGAGAAACAGTAGGTGTCATAGGAAGAGACTTGACCTGGGAAACGGTCAGGAAATAAGGCAAACTCATCAGCAGATGCTGAGTGAGTCCTGAGGCTCATCATAGTCACCAATCCACAGAGACCCTGCACACACACACACACACACACACACACACACACACACACAGGCGCCGAGTCCCTCCTCCTCTCTGTCTGCTTAGAGTCACTTCTTCACTTCAGCCAAGAGGCCCTGTAGGCTTTCCTTCTTCAGCTGCATGAAAATGCTTCCAGAGGGCCCACCCTGTGGTCCTCTCCCCTGAGATTCTGCGCCCCTGGGATGGCCCTGACTCTGGCTCGCTGTCCCGGACTTACCTGAGCAGGCCTCTGCTTTCACTGTGGCCAGAGAAAAGTCACCTGCTGGTTTCGTTAAGGGTAACAGAAATGTTTGCCGATGTG